CAGGTAAAGCAACTCACCTGCAAAGAAAACCGGAATTAAATAAATATTAAAAAAATCGCGACATCCAATATTTAACCAGAATGACTTAGTTACAATACTGTATATGCAAAAACTTAGAAAATACTGCACTGCATCGTTAGTCAAACACAGTTGAAAAAAAAGGTGTTCAAACGACGTAATGAACTTCAGGGATTGTTGCTATTACAACACCTCCGTGAAATACAATCACAAACAAATGTAAGAGGACTAAAAAGTGAAATTCGCACATGTTAAGTGGAAGAGTGGGCGCACGGAGGCGTGACCAACCGCATCACGCCCCAACACTTCACTATAACAGTACCGGAGCCCTGGAAGTACCTTTTTACGGGCTCACCATAGCCCGTGCTACATGGACACTTCGTCCTGAGTAGCTAAATCTTTAACAACAACAACATGGAAGTACTTCACTATAAGAGTACCGGAGCCCTGGAAGTACTTCACTATAACAGTACCGGAGCCCTGGAAGTACCTCGCTATAACAGTACCGGAGCCCTGGAAGTACTTCACTATAACAGTACCGGAGCCCTGGAAGTACTTCACTATAAGAGTACCGGAGCCCTGGAAGTACCTTGCTATAACAGTACCCGAGCCCTGGAAGTACTTCACTATAACAGTACCGGAGCCCTGGAAGTACTTCACTATAACAGTACCGGAGCCCTGGAAGTACCTCGCTATAACAGTACCGGAGCCCTGGAAGTACCTCGCTATAACAGTACCGGAGCCCTGGAAGTACCTCGCTATAACAGTACCGGAGCCCTGGAAGTATGTGCGTGGGGTCGTGGGGGTCTAAACCAAAGACAGACCGGTTACATACATCTTAATTATGCAAGACACGCGCCTGCTTATTCGCGCGCACGCAAGCACAAACAAGAAAAGGTCTAAGCCACGCAACAAAGCTCATTCTTTTGCTTAAGCGGACCGAGCTATAAGGAACTGAGAAAACTGGACGTCGCCGCGTAGTAAAGAAGGAATGTGAGACATGATAATGACATACTCGAGCCTAAGAGAAATTGACAGTACACAGAAGCAAATTTCAGAGCTGGAAGGATTAAAACCACGGAACATTGTTCAGTGTAAGTGTTGAAAATCAATTAAGATGACAAATTTGTATTTGTTCACACAATTCCCAGTTCGGCATGTAAATATGATAAAATAAAGGAGAGAAACATTGCACTCAATTACTGATATAGTCTGCTCTCTAAATCGTTCACATCGTCACTAAAAAATTTCGAAATTGCCCGAACCTAACTTACCCGAGGACCAACGAACAGAGAACAAGACAAAGTTTATTTTGCGAGAGATTCATGCCAATACACTAGTCTTTGTAACGGGTCCCTGAGCTTGGAGAACTTAAGTTATTCGGAAAGTATCTTCAACATTATCTTTTGTACACAATAGGCTTGAATTCTATAAGACAATCATCAAGTCAAATTTCCTCATATGATAAAATGCATTAGGCTAGAGAAGGGGCCAAGAGTGAACCCATGGCCACTCCAATTAGTTATACAAAGAGACAATCTTAAACTGGTAAATATAGAAGTTTCCTCAGTTTGGCTTTATAAAAGCAAGCAACATAGAGTTAGTGAACAAATTATTAACACAAATAGGTAAAATAGGACATTTTTTCAAAATTTATATAAGTTACCTACATGGGGAATTCCATCAATAAGCAAAGCCAAACTGAGGAACCTACTCCAGTTGGCTGTTCAAGATTCTGTATTTTTGTTTAACAAATAATTATTTTCTCAAATTGATGCCCCGATGCACCAGCGATCGTCCATGATGCAACCCGTCCTCGACTCAAGTCCATTACATCCAGCGGTCGACCCCACAGACGCATTCATAAATTTTAACATGCTGTTCATTCAAAACGGGAATTTTTTCAAGTATAAATTAATATTATAATATATTAGCATATTGTGTATATATATAGGCATAGGATAGGTTAGGTTAGGTGTTTAGGTTCTGTTGGCGATTATTTGTATTTGTAGTACGTGGGTGAAGCATTTACAGCGTTGTGGTTCGAACAAAATTCGTCAGTGAAGCACTTGTTCCGGATATGTTCGAACGTCAGCAGTTGAGTCGTGTGTAAACCGTTTTTCATTCATAAACAGGGGGTTTGGCGGGTGCATGGAATCACTTTTGGATCTTTGGAGGACGGGTTGCATGATGATTGGGACAGTGGTCAGAGTACCAGAGCTGTTGATGTGGGGATCACGGGGGGTCTGGGCTCCACTCCTCATGGGTCAAAGCATTAGTGATATATGTGTGCTTGGGGATCATTCAAGCTACTTGGCTTTATTATATATATATATTAGTACAAATTACGTATATAAATATATACAGTATTTTATTTATATAAGGGAAAAATGTTTTCCCGGCTTGCGTGTAGAAATGCACACCCACACACACGACATGACAGCACGGAGCGACTGTCTCATCACGAATTTAATCCGTTTTTACAAGAGCGAAACACGACACCTCTTCCACGACACAGTCCACGTAATGCGACGAGCTCCAAACACGCCACGACACAACAGCACCACCCAACTACATCTCAAACAAGCAAGCAAAACCAACACTGTCACCCACCGTTACCTAGCAGTAAAATAGGTACCTGGGTGTTAGTCAGCTGTCACGGGCTGCTTCCTGGGGGTGGAGGCCTGGTCGAGGACCGGGCCGCAGGGACACTAAAGCCCCGAAATCATCTCAAGATAACCACCGTCCACAGCGACAAGGTCAAAGCCTCCCGCCTAGGCTTTAAGGCCGGCTCTCGCTCGCACTCGTCTCAAGTGACAAGTAAATTGACTTCTACATAATTCTCTCGGACACAGACGATCCTATCTTGCTAACGCTAAATTTGCACAAAAACCAGAATACCCAATAAGCTCTTCAGGAATGATGTCTTTTCAGACTATTATCTCACCACAACAGTCCCAATGTATTATGATAATCTGAAGTTATATATTAATGTACGGTAAGGTGTGTGTGTGAGATATATATATATATATATATATATATATATATATATATATATATATATATATATATATATATATATATATATATATATTATATATATATATATATATATACACCATGTAAATATCGTTAATCTGAAAACTAATCATCCAAGGTTGTAAATTGAGCTCCAATTAAACAAAATATAATTTACACGTATTATGTTGTTGATTAGAACATAACGTCCAACAAAATTAATGATACATTAACTTTCATACACCAGTTTTCCTTCCCTAATTTTCCCTCCCAAACATACACACCTTAGACGATAACCAGAGAACCCTAACCTAACCAGACGGACCCGCCAGCCCGGCAGCCTAGCGCCAGCCCGCGTACCCTGAACGTCAGGCCCGCTGGACAGTTTCTATTCTCCAACATACAAAGGTTACCGTCACTAAGTTATTCTCTGGGACATGTGGTAACGGCGGACACCGCCATGTTGTAAGACCCCCACGGTGTAATCTGGCCGCTCTTATAATCACACGTTACAAAAACCGTGTGCCATCTATTAGCATTTTGTCGGGTTTTCTCCGCCCTCCAGTTGGCGGAGCTCCACGGTAAATGTCACGCCACTCTTAAGAAAACCATTATTTTTTTGACTGATCCCGTATTATTGTTGTATATATATATATATATTTATATATATTATATATATACTGATCTGAAGATATATATATTTATATATATTATATATATATTGGATATTAAGTCTCGAATTAAAAACGATTTGTTGATACGCTTGTGTATAATTTTGTATCAACAAATTAGAGTTTGTTTATAATTTGAGGTTTCTCAGGAGGTGATTATCTTAGCCAACCTGGCGTGGAGGACGCTCCGAGCTCTGGGGTAGCCGCACTAATATTATTAATCCAAGAATAAATTAGTAATAAAATAATATGGTTTAATTATTAATATATTTGCATACTGGTTATATTACATTATATACATACACGGTTTAGAAATATAAAGTTTTGATAAAGACACTTAACTGTGCATCGAATCCCACACTGAGCACGAAGGTGTGATCTTTGTGGATGTATATATACACCCGCTTCTCGGTGTATATATATACACTTTAGAATGGTCCGACTTTACAATCGACTTTAAAATGGTCCAGGACGGACCGAAACGTCGTCGTCCCTTCACCTTCTAGTGTGTGGTCTGGTCATCTTATACACTTTAGTCCTGAACATATACGCAGCACCGCTCCTGTGCCAGGTAAGTCCACTACGGGCTCACCATAGCCCGTGCTACTTGCCCCGCTCCTGTGCCAGGTAAGTCCACTACGGGCTCACCATAGCCCGTGCTACTTGCCCCGCTCCTGTGCCAGGTAAGTCCACTACGGGCTCACCATAGCCCGTGCTACTTGGAACTTGTTCCGAGTAGCTTAATCTATAACAACAACAACAACCTTAATATATTCCAGGACTAAACTATTCAAGCTGGTGGGTCAGTAAGCTGCTGCTGCTGTTGTTGTTGCTTTAATAACTTTCCATAGGTTGACAGGCATGAACCCCAACGACCCTCGGGCCTACCGTAATGGCGTTCACCTACTAGGGTGAACGCCATTACTCACCAGTCCCCGGAAGCTATATCAAAGAGCTTCTGGGGGACTGCTTAAGGCACCCCTTATCTCCCCTCCCTCGTTTTCTCTCTTCAGTGAACAATAATGTTGGCTGCCACCTCCATTGAAGACTGTGAGCGCGCTCAGTCATTCAGATGATGAGTGCCCCGTGGTGGCACAATGCCCGCCTTGCTCCTCTGGTCACTTCCAGCACATCACCTCTGCAGAATGGGTTGACATTACCTCATAGCGGGGAATTATTTTAGCAGCCAACGCTGAAATGCTCTGATAAGCGACGCTAATTACTCGCAGCTCACAGAAAGGTGTTTCCTGCTCTGTGTATGGGGGAGGGGAGGTATACAATGTGTTTCCTGCTCTGTGTATGGGGAGAGGGGGGGTGGAGGGGGGAGAACAGCTATTAGTGAAAATTAGGTAAAATTAACACCAAGGTTTTCATGTAATATAAAATACATCATAATTTGTTAATTATCTTTATCAGTTCTTTCCCGTTATTTTCATGCGTCCCGTTTTCCTTCCTGTGTTGTCTCCCGCTCACAACCTTCCCACTGAGGCAACACCGGCCGTGTTGCGGGCGTGGCAACACTGGCCGTGTCGTCGTGGTGGTGGTCGTGGCGGGCGAGGCAACACCTGCCGTGTCGTCGTCGTGGTCGTGGTGGTGGTCGTGGCGGGCGAGGCACCACCGGCCGTGTCGTCGTCGTGGTCGTGGTGGTCGTGGCGGGCGAGGCACCACCGGCCGTGTCGCAAGACGAGGTGAAAGGGTCCAACAATGTCTCAAGATGCTGCCCACAGACCTCTCTCGCCGCGCCAATATTGTAGTCTGAAATTTACACTGAACTTTGCTTCGTATATCTTTAAGTCGTGTTGTTTATGTTCGGTATTTTACACGCGGACGTTTTTGTCTCTGGCTACACTTTATAGTTTGTTTAATTCTCAAGTCTCTTGGGTAGCGTCACATTCTATTTTGTTAAAGCCTAAATTTCATACTTTGGTCATTTGTGTGTACGTAAGTGTATTTAGTTTCTTAATGCATTTGAATAAAGTATTCTTCTGTATTATTTAGAGGCTTTGTTTTGTTGACCAGACCACACACTAGAAGGTGAAGGGACGACGACGTTTCGGTCCGTCCTGGACCATTCACAATCGACTTGAGAATGGTCCAGGACGGACCGAAACGTCGCCGTCCCTTCACCTTCTAGTGTGTGGTCTGGTCAACATACTTTAGCCCCGTTATTGTGACTCGTCGCCTGTACAGGCTTTGTTTTACTCTTGTTCCGTGTTGCCTGGGTAAGTGTCCTGGTCTGAACACACTTACATTCTCACTATAGCTTATAGCTTTAGGAGCCGGTCGGCCGAGCGGACAGCACGCTGGACTTGTGATCCTGTGGTCCTGGGTTCGATCCCAGGCGCCGGCGAGAAACAATGGGCAGAGTTTCTTTCACCCTATGCCCCTGTTACCTAGCAGTAAAATAGGTACCTGGGTGTTAGTCAGCTGTCACGGGCTGCTTCCTGGGGGTGGAGGCCTGGTCGAGGACCGGGCCGCGGGGACACTAAAGCCCCGAAATCATCTCAAGATAACCTCAAGATAACCTTAAGAAAGATCAAGCCCTCTCCGGCCACACGGCTTCGAACTTATTGCTCCAACATTTTCACACTATCGAAAACGTAAAAATTTAATCTTTAAATTATTCTATATTGGAATTTGATACATAGGCCTGAATTAGGCGTTTAGTTTATGTTGGTCATTCCTTGCATTTGTAGCACGTGGGTAAGACATTTACAGAGGTGAGGACAGAGGTCATCAACGAAACACTATTCGAGAAATGTTCGAACGTCATCAGTTGCGAGTCTTGTGTAAAGAGTTTTTCCTTCTTAAACAAGGGGGTGTTTGGCGGCTGGATTTCCTCTTAGTAAAGGTTAAGTGCTCCTTAATCTAGCCGCCAACCCCCCCCCCCCCCTCTTGGTGAACGACACGCTGTACACACGACTCACAGCTGGTTTAATTCAACATTTCTCGAACAGTGATTCACTGACGACCTCTTTTTCCAGTCGAGATTTTAGTAAGCGCCTCACCCACGTACTACAAATACGAATAATCGTCAACAGAACCTAAACCTATGCCTAAAATATTCACAATGTACTAATGTATAGCATTAATATATATGAGAAAAACTCCCATTTTGATGTTAAATCTGTGGGGTTGGGCCGCCGCATGGACGAGGCTAGTCTGAAGACGGGATGCGGGCCGTGGAGAGGGACTGTTGATCAACAACACCCGAGCGCTATCCACTCAGCCACGAGGCCTCGTGTTCACTCGCTTAGTTGTGCTTGCGGGGGTTGAGCTCTAGCTCTTTCGGCCCGCCTCTCAACTGTCAACGTTTTTTTTTCCCTCACACATGAACACACACTCAGGAAGCAGCCCATAGCAGCTGCCTAACTCCCAGGTACCTATTTACTACAAGGTGAACAGGGACATCAGGGTGAAAAACTCTGCCCATTTGTTTCTGCCTCCTCCGGGGATCGAACCCTGGACCACAGGACTACGTATCCAGCGTGCTGTCCACTCAGCCACCAGCGCCGTGTGTGTGTGTGTGTGTGTGTGTGTGTGTGTGTGTGTGTGTGTGTGTGTGTGTGTGTGTGTGTGTGTGTGTACGTGCGCGTGCGTGAGCCAGCGAGCTGTACTTAATAACGTAGCTGAGTTTGGAGGCGGGAGGGGTGGAGAGTGCTTAGGACTCGAGGAAGTTTGAGAGGAGTGGGGAGAGGGAGAAAGCGGCAGAGAAAGGGACAGAGAGAAAGAGAGAGTGGGGAGGGAGGGAGAGAGAGGGAGAGAGGAAGCGCACCACCAACACTGAACCTCTCCCCCATCACCATCCCAGGTGATGTGGTGATGTTACAGTATTAAGTAGGCAGCCACCTTCCCTTAAAATCTATCCTGTGACGATACACACACTGGAGTGCCTCACCGTGTGTCGTACTACAGGGGCCTCGTAGCCTGGTGGATAGCGCGCAGGATTCGTAATTCTGTGGCGCGGGTTCGATTCCCGCACGAGGCAGAAACAAATGGGCAAAGTTTCTTTCACCCTGAATGCCCCTGTTACCTACCAGTAAATAGGTACCTGGGAGTTAGTCAGCTGTCACGGGCTGCTTCCTGGGGGTGTGTGTGTGTGGTGTGGGAAAAAAAAAAAAAAAAAGTAGTAAAAACAGGTGATTGACAGTTGAGAGGCGGGCCGAAAGAGCAAAGCTCAACCCCCGTAAAAACACAACTAGTAAACACATACAGGACGCTGCCCAGAATGACTTCAACTCCGCTAACTGTTGCACCCAAGGCACTGGCGCACCTTGTAACCGCCCCGGCACCTTGCCACTCACCACACAGAGCGGCGACGACGACACATCCCCGACGTAAGGAGATCTTGAAAATCACCAGAAGCCCATCACAAGGTGAGAGAGAGGGGGGGGGGGAAGGTAGAACACAGCTCAGGAGTCGTGTAATAATTACGGGCTCACCATAGCCCGTGCTACATGGACACTTCGTCCTGAGTAGCTAAATCTGAAACAACAACAACAACAACAACGTGTAACAAGACAGAGGAAGAAGAGGTGGTGGGCGCGGCGGAGGGTCGCGTATCTTGCGTAGGTTCAAGGGCGACACAGTTGACGCCGGAAGCTTTCTCACGGTAAGTTGTTCCTCCAGCGGAAGCGCCCGTGCCCGACCCACGGAGAGGGGATAGGGGGCGCTGCTCAGCACGTTCATACACGTATGTCACGCCACCTATCTCGCCTATCCAACAGAACAGCCACCTATCCCATCCACTGCTATATAATCCTGGGATGGGTGTAGCTGCACCCCATCTCCTTTCCCCTTCTCCTCCCTCACCCTCATACCCCTCCCCTCATTTACCCCATACACTCGCCGTCCTCCCCTCTCCCCCCCCCCCCCAGCCCTGCCCACACCCCTCACTCAACCTGTAAAGAGGAAGCAGCAATTTTCAAACAAAAACTAGTTTAAACCCTCTCTGGTGAGCGGGTGGTCGGCTCCCCCCCCCCTCTTGTCGTCCTGTCGGCCACGGCGCCAGGCCCAGTGGGGGGTCACACGACGCCAGGCCGAGTGGGGGTCACACGGCGCCAGGCCCAGTGGGGGTCACACGGCGCCAGGCCGAGTGGGGGTCACACGGCGCCAGGCCGAGTGGGGGGTCACACGGCGCCAGGCCGAGTGGGGGGTCACACGGCGCCAGGCCGAGTGGGGGGTCACACGGCGCCAGGCCGAGTGGGGGGTCACACGGCGCCAGGCCGAGTGGGGGGTCACACGGCGCCAGGCAGAGTGGGGGGGTCACACGGCGCCAGGCCGAGTGGGGGGTCACACGGCGCCAGGCAGAGTGGGGGGTCACACGGCGCCAGGCAGAGTGGGGGGTCACACGGCGCCAGGCCGAGTGGGGGGTCACACGGCGCCAGGCAGAGTGGGGGGTCACACGGCGCCAGGCAGAGTGGGGGGTCACACGGCGCCAGTGCCAGGTTATCGACCCTTAGCGGCGGGGGGGGGGGGGGTCCACGTGACGACCTGTCGTTATTTCAAGAAACTTTACAATGAATCAATCTAGTCTAAAAAAAAATATATATATATATATATACTTTTGAACAGCAAGCGTAACAAGTGAACAACGTTCAGTCCTGGCAGACGAACACTGAACAGACGAATATGGGTGAGTGGGTGAGTGAGAGGGTGAGGAAGCGTGAGTCCAATACTGGCCCCACGGGGCTGGCGTCGACCCCAAGACCCGACCACCGCGTCTCAAATGAAGAGCTTCCTGGGTGTGTTTACTGCAATTCAAACCGTGTTGTAAGGCCGATGGTTGACGGTAGGGGACGGGGGGAAGGGGGGGGGGGAGAGTGGGAGTAGGAGAAGGGGTTAGTGGGGGAAGGGGTTAGTGGGGGTCCATCCAATACTGACACACTAAGTGATAAACTACTCAGCTCCCAGCTCTATGATAAACTACTACTCACTGCATCTGATGGCAAAGATCTCGGTGAAAGGCTTCACAATTTTAACCATTTGGACCTAACTTCACTCCGTGTTCGTCCTGTCTAATCAAAAACTCTTATTGCCTCATATATAAATTACTATGATTAATATATTTTTTGCGAATAAATTAGATCTAGGATAAGTTGGGTGTCTTAAGTTCCGTTTTCAATTACTTGCAATTTGCCCAACTGTTCCAGCCCGTCCTCATGAACAAGGGCCAAACGCTCGTTAATCAGGCGATGAGTCACAATAACGTGGCTAAAGTATGTTGACCAGACCACACACACTAGAAGGTGAAAGGGACGACGACGTTTCGGTCCGTCCTGGACCATTCTCAAGTCGATTGAGAATGGTCCAGGACGGACCGAAACGTCGTCGTCCCTTCACCTTCTAGTGTGTGGTCTGGTCAACAAACGCTCGTCAATTCAGCCACAAAATTCCCTGTTTATGGATGAAGACCACTACACACGACCCAGGACTGATGCATGTTTCTAAGGCAGCGAATCCTTCAAGTCTTGTCCTCGAGGTCCTCCTCCAGTACAGCCTCACCAACGTTGGAGTGCCAGCGTTGGTCAGCTGGCACTCCAAGTCCTAACCATGTTACCCAACTTAGGCCTAACTATTCAATACATTCTAGTATGAAATAATACTATTAACATATTTGAGAAAAATACAAATATTGAATATATAGTGCGGTAATAATATTGATGAATGCGTCCGACCGCCGCCTGGATGGGCTGTGTGACGAGGACGTGTACGACGAGGGCGTGCGCGTCGAGGACGACCCTTACGTACCTCCTGGGTGACCTGGAGGAGTCAGGTCACTCGGTAACGCTTCACCGCCTCACTCACTTAACCCGTCCTCGACTCAAGTCCATTCCATCCAGCGGTCGACCCCACAGACGCATTCATAAATTTGTACATACTGTTCATTCAAAACGGAAATTTTCTCATATATAAATTATTATAAAATATTATCATATATAGGCACAAGATAGGTTAGGTGTTTAGGTTCTGTTGGCGATTATTTGTATTTGTAGTACGTGGGTGAAGCATTTACAGCGTTGTGGTTCGAACACAAGTCGTCAGTGAAGCACTTGTTCCGGAAGTGTTCGAACGTCAGCAGTTGTGAGTCTTGTGTAAACCGTTTTTCATTCACAAACTCTAGGGGGTTTGGCGGGTGGATGGAATCACTTATTCTGGGTCTTTGGAGGACGGGCTGCATACTGGGGTGATAAGAGCCAGTCACTGTGAAGAATACCTTCAGTATAACTCACCGCTACTCGGGTCGACTAAGGGACTCACTGCCATTTCCTATTTTGAGATGATTTCGGGGCTTAGCATCCCCACGGTCCTCGACCAGGCCTCTTTTTTTCTTAAAACACCCCCAGGAAGCAGCCCGTAGCAGCTATCTAACTCCCAGGTAACTATGTACTACTATGTGAACAGGTACATCAGAGTAATACAAACGCTACCCATTTGTTCTGCCTCCACCGGGGATCGAACCCGGAACCTCAGGACTAAGAATAACAAGCGCCGTCCACTCAGCCGTCAGGCCCCCCTACCAGCCTCCTAATGTATATCAGAAGCCACTAGTTCCATGTATTAGGTTGAAGACTGACGGGGCTTCTCTAGTATGCATCTCAGGAGGAAGAGGGGGGAGGGGGAGGAAGAGGGGGGGAGGGGAGGTGGACAGTCCCAGGGGAGGGGGGGGGAGACGCGGCCTTTCCATAACAATGTGGGTCATGATTTCCTCGGTGGAACAAGTAGAGTAGAACACCAGAACACCTGCGACCACCTCTGGGGGGGCGGGTGAAGACGCAACACCTGTGATGACAGGTGTTCACACAGGGGGGGGGGGGCCGAGGCGCCTCCCCCCCCTGTACCGCACCTTGCCTGAGGGTGAAGCCTGTGCCAGCTCTAACTGCTGCTCTCTTCTAATCACCAACCCTGGTTGATGAAGTCGTCAACCAGGAGTCCAGGCCAGAAAGTGGACCACGGGGGCCGCCGATTTCCAGAACTACTACTTCCTAGCCCCCAGGGTAATGTTCCAGCTCCCATGCACTTCCCCAGCCCCCAGGGTAATGTTCCGGCTCCCACCTTCCCTACCCCCCAGGGTAATGTTCCAGCTCCCACCTCCCTACCCCCCAGGGTAATGTTCCGGCTCCCATGCACTTCCCCAACCCCCAGGGTAATGTTCCGGCTCCCACCTTCCCTACCCCCCAGGGTAATGTTCCAGCTCCCACATCCCTAGCCCCCAGGGTAATGTTCCGGCTCCCATGCACTTCCCCAGCCCCCAGGGTAATGTTCCGGTTCCCACCTTCCCTACCCCCCAGGGTAATGTTCCAGCTCCCACCTTCCCCAGCCCCCAGGGTAATGTTCCGGCTCCCACTTCCCTACCCCCCAGGGTAATGTTCCAGCCACGGTCTCGCGTCATGCAGGTCGGCGTTCAATCCCCGACCATCCAAGTGATTGGGCACCATTCCTTTCCCATCCCAAATCCTTATTCTTCCCCCTTCCAAATGCAATATAGTCGTAATGGCATGGTGCTTCGCCCTGATAATTCCCTCCTCTTCCCCACCTTATGCTAGCTATTGGACAGGTTACAATTGTACCACTGTACACTGTGGACAGGTTACAATTGTACCACTGTACACTGTGGACAGGTTACAATTGTACCACTGTACACTGTGGACAGGTTACAATTGTACCACTGTACACTGTGGACAGGTTACAATTGTACCACTGTACACTGTGGACAGGTTAGGATAAATTTAACAATGAGCAGACGGTACAATGCACTAGGAGGCTGGTTACTGTCCACGACCAGTCCACAAAGCTCTTCCAAGGCCATGTGATACACAAATAAAAACAATGATTTTCGAATTTTATCGCCGAGGTGAACTAGAGTTAACAAAGTGTTGATAAGGTAAAGTTTTTGATCAATTTACTCATTGAAGCGACCCCAACGCTGCTAGATAGATTGATCTGCCCGAAACGCTGCGCGTACTAGTGGCTTTACAAGATTGTAATTACTATATTATGTATCCTCACAATCCCAATGTACCGTCTTGTATATATATAAATAAATAAATAAATAGGCTAATGTCAAAGGCCTAAACGCTTGCAATTGAGACATAAGTTATCCCTAGGTTGCCGACCAGTTAAACGGGTCAGGTAGCAGCACTTCGCATTTTCCTAAGACTACTGAATAGCTCGGTCGATTGAGCTTCAGTCTCACACGCATGGGGGTCGACGGTTCGAGTCCCTCAGAGCCCAGGTGAATGGGGCGTCGCGTTTATATGGGACAAGTAACAAGTACACGCGCGTGCGCACGCACGCACACGCACACACACACACACACACACACACACACACACACACACACACACACACACACACACACACACACACACACACACACACACACACACACACACCACAGAAAGAGAAATTAGAGGAACAAATGGTCAGCAATGCAAACAGACCCGTCCCCCCCCAGCCCCCCCCCCCCCCACAACAACGGCTTGTCACTACCAAGCACCAATTGGTCCGGTCACACCCCCCCCTCCTTTCCAGGAAACGGGAAGGGGGGGGGGAATGGGGAAACCTCACCAACACGGACACTGTCTGACCCTCTTCGCCTTCTCTCCCATTCCACTACATATTTACACACTCATCACCAACCCATCACCATACTCATCACCCTGGCCACCACAATCACCAGTAGAGTGAGGGACTACTCCCCCTACCTTCCCCACTACCTTATTACTCTCTCCTCCTCCTCTTTACTTATAACATTACTAGTAATCCTAGTCCTGCTACTTACATCACTACTAATTTTATTCCAACTACTCCTAGCCTGGCTACTATTACTACCATTATTACTGCTATTACCCCTATTGCTACAATTCCTCTTCTATCTCAATTTTAGAGACGCTATTAGTGTAAGCAGACGACAGATTAGGATAGATGTGGGGGTAGATATAGAGGATAGATACAGGTGGGATGGTGCAAGATGGACCAAGGGACAGGTGCAGGGAAAGATGAAAGAGGTGTGGAAAAGTTTACACCCTGACCCCTTTTCCACGTGACACGTTCCTAATACACACACACCTGGCCGATAGCAGTAAATAATCAGCTGATCAAGCGAAACAATAACAAAGATCAGCTGATCAAGGTAAACAATAACAAAGATCAGCTGATCAAGCGAAACAATAACAAAGATCAGCTGATCAAGGTAAACAATAACAAAGATCAGCTGATCAAGCGAAACAATAACAAAGATCAGCTGATCAAGCGAAACAATAACAAAGATCAGCTGATCAAGCGAAACAATAACAAAGATCAGCTGATCAAGGTAAACAATAACAAAGATCAGCTGACCAGTGACAGTCGGCAGGGCCACCAGCTGACCAGTTACCCCAGACAAGACCCCCCGAGGCAGGGAAGGTATGTCGGCCTCTTTACTGAAAATGACTGTTGCAGTGGCGGCCACAGGCACCTTGCTAGTGACCGGGGAGACTTGCACCACTCAGCACGCCCTTGCAACACCGCCTCACTAGTAACCCATCCTTGCAACACCGCCCACTAGTACCAGGCAGCAACACAACAATAGACTAACAATAGACTTTGACACTTGTGAAGTGCTAGCAGCACTTCCCAAATAGACATCACTCTCTTCCGCAACTCTTACAGGCCAATCCTGAGTACGTCGATCTGTGAAAACACTCCATATATCAGCGGCTAACACACACACTGCTCGGCTCGACGGCGGCTACTTAATCTTCTCCCAGGACCAAACTAAGAGTTTGTGGACTGCCCAAGGTGAACTGCCCTCCTCAGCTCAATCGCCTCCATATGTCACCCCTGTGGACATAAAAACGTCATTAGCCAGATGGAGAGTACACTGGGTAACCCTGGGATAACACGCGTCCATCGGGGGATTGATATTATGCTTGTAGCCACAACCAAGATGGCGCTGATCTTGATACGCCATCCACCAGAGGTCATCATCACCGACCTCACATGCTGACTGGGGCACGAAGCCGGAACCATTCACTGATACCAGACCACCACCAACAGATGGAGTGGTCTACGTAACCCACAATATTTGGGGGAGTTGGAGTGCGAACCCATAGATGGCGCCGCCGAAATCGCCACTCCACACTCCGACGATGGTGTCGATACCGTAACATGTACCAACGCCAACAACAAATGGGCCAACAAATGTCTACTAAAGATCAACCCGAGTAAATGTAAGGTAATGAAACTAGGCAGTGGAAACAGGAGGCCAGACACAGGATATAGAATGGGAGATGATGTCCTTCATGCAACGGACAGAGAGAAGGATCTAGGAGTTGGTATCACACCAACCCTGTCTCCTGAAGCCCACATCAAAAGAATAACATCTGCGGCGTATGTGAGGCTAGTTAACATCAAAACTGCCTTCAAGAACCTGTGTAAGGAATCATTCAGAACCTTCTATACCACATATATAAGACCAATCCTGGAGTATGCGGGCCCCAGCCTAGAGCCCGTACCTTGTCAAGCACAAGACAAAGTTAGAAAAGGTTCAGAGGTATGCCACTAGACTAGTCCCAGAACTAAGAGGCATGAGTTACGAGGAAAGGCTGCGAGAAATGCACCTCACGACACTAGAAGACAGAAGAGTAAAGGGAGACATGATCACTACCTACAAAATCCTCTGGGGGAATTGACAGGGTAGATAAGGATAAACTATTCAACACGCGAACAAGGGGACACAGGTAGAGACTGAGTACCCACATAAGCCACAGGGACGTTAGAAAGAACTTTTTCAGTGTCAGAGTAGTTAACAGATGGAATGCATTAGGCAGTGATGTGGTGGAGGCTGACTCCATACACAGCTTCAAATGTAGATATGATAGAGCCCAGTAGGCTCAGGAACCTGTACACCAGTTGATTGACAGTTGAGAGGCGGGACCAAAGAGCCAGAGCTCAACCCCCGCAAGCACAACTAGGTGAGTACCAGTGGTGTGCCAACACCAGTGGTGTGCCAAAACAATAGACAACATAACATAAACCACACAGTGACAACACACACACCATTCACAACACAGGCGGAACACCGGCCGTAACACAGAGTGAGCAGCAACACCAGACAACACAAGGCCGCCAACAGTCTCCCGCTAACAACATAAACGCTGCCATAATTGTCATAATTGTGGCCTCAACTTTCTTTCAAGACGCTGTTCTTCTTCCTACAGTGGCTGCTACTTCCTCCTCCAGCTGCTGCTACAGTGGACGCTATATAGTTGCTACAGTGGGTACTATAGTGGGTGCTACAGTGGGTACTACAGTGGGTGCTATAGTGGGTACTACAGTGGATGCTATACAGTGGGTGCTATATAGTTGCTACAGTGGGTACTACAGTGGCTGCTACAGTGGCTGCCATAGAGGGTACTACAGTGGGTGCTACAGTGGGTACTACAGTGGCTGCTATAGAGGGTACTACAGTGGCTGCTATAGAGGGTACTACAGTGGCTGCTACAGTGGGTGCTACAGTGGGTACTACAGCGGCTCCTACAGTGGGTGCTACAGTGGGTACTACAGTGGGTACTACAGCGGCTACTACAGTGGCTGCTACAGTGGGTACTACAGTGGGTACTACAGTGGGTACTACAGTGGCTGCTACAGCTACTGCTACAGTGGCTGCTACAGTGGGTACTACAGTGGGTACTACAGTGGGTACTAGAGAGGGTACTACAGTGGCTGCTACAGTGGGTGCTACAGTGGCTGCTACAGTGGGTACTACAGTGGGTACTACAGTGGGTACTACAGTGGGTACTACAGTGGGTACTACAGCGGCTACTACAGTGGCTGCTACAGCTACTGCTACAGTGGGTACTACAGTGGGTACTACAGTGGCTGCTACAGTGGGTGCTACAGTGGGTACTACAGCGGCTCCTACAGTGGGTGCTACAGTGGGTACTACAGTGGGTACTACAGTGGCTGCTACAGTGGGTACTACAGTGGGTACTACAGTGGCTGCTACAGCTACTGCTACAGTGGCTGCTACAGTGGGTACTACAGTGGGTACTACAGTGGGTACTACAGAGGGTACTACAGTGGGTGCTACAGTGGGTGCTACAGTGGCTGCTACAGTGGGTACTACAGTGGGTACTACAGTGGGTACTACAGTGGGTACTACAGCGGCTGCTACAGTGGGTGCTACAGTGGGTACTACAGTGGGTACTACAGAGGGTACTGCAGTGGCTGCTACAGTGGGTGCTACAGTGGCTGCTACAGTGGGTACTACAGTGGGTACTACAGTGGGTACTACAGAGGGTACTACAGTGGCTGCTACAGTGGGTGCTACAGTGGCTGCTACAGTGGGTACTACAGTGGGTACTACAGTGGGTACTACAGAGGGTACTACAGTGGGTGCTACAGTGGGTGCTACAGTGGGTACTACAGTGGGTACTACAGTGGGTACTACAGCGGCTGCTACAGTGGGTGCTACAGCTACCGGTAGTGGTACTAGAGGTATCACTACACCCAACACATCCCTCACAACAAACAAGACCTCCACCTTTTTCTTTGTGCAATATCTGAAAGTGGCGACAGAATTTAATACTTATTTTTCTGGAGGTTGAGCAAGGGCGGGGCGTGGGGAGGGCGTGGGGAAGGGGCGTGCCGCACCAGCAGGGAGGGGCGTGGGGCGGGGAGTTCCAGGCAGGGAAGCCGCCCTACGTGAGGAAGGGCGAGGTGTCTCCCTCATCAGTATCCCGCGACACTCACACCGCTCTATCACTGGAGGAAGCTGCAGGTTAATGACCTGGCAAGTGTGTAGGTGCCTGTGAGGGAGGGAGGGAGGGAGGGAGGGAGGGAGGGAGGGAGAGAGAGAGGAGAGTACTAGGAGGGGGGGGGGAGAAAGGAGGAGAGGGATGCTCCAAGACAAACCAGGTCTTCCTGGTCCCGCGGCCATCATCGCCAGAAACCCAATTAAAAAATACTGCAGCCGTCCCTCAGGATCGAACCTGCGTGCATCTGAGGAGTCCAGGGATGCGGGTTCGAACTAATCGTACTGCACCAATACTTCCTCACAAACACCACAGAACTACACAGCAATGTAACAGACGTGGCTGTAATCCCGTCAGAAGACATTTAAAATTTAAAAACAACCCAAGAACGAGGCACCTGTCACAGCTACAAGGGAATTAAAGCCAGGATAACATGAACCAATCAAGAGATAACAAGTCAGTAATGACACTAGTGCTCTCCCTGGTACAATGGAACAACAGCCTGTGGGGCTATCCGGGAATAATGAGAGGAAAACCACATGTAAAAACTCTCTCATCTCGTAGGGATGAGAGAGTAGGATAGTAGACAGTAGCAGCTGCTTGCCTGTCCAGTGTTGTGGACAGTAAGCCTCTTAGGATTACCGGGGTTCCCCCCCTCCCCCTAGGCCTACGACAGCAACCCGTCTTCCTAAATAGCACGTCGCATTTTGACGTATAGTTCATCTAAGGCCAAAAACTGTCGTATTAGTAAATGAAAGCGGAAATTAACGATGTCCCGTTTGCAGGCGATGAGTCACAATAACGTGGCTGAAGTATGTTGACCAGACCACACACTAGAAGACTTGAGAATGGTCCAGGACGGACCGAAACGTCGTCGTCCCTTCACCTTTTAGTGTGTGGTCTGGTCAACAGTCCCGTTTTCTGTTTCGGGTCAGAACAGGGAGCCATATCCTTACCTACCTCCACAATCGGTAGGTAAGGAAATGGCACTTTAGCACGACAGTTTCTTGACGTTGGGAACGCTCGCTAAGACGGGTTGGCGAGAGACCAACGCCATGGTACAACCCACACCAGTCAACCACCTGATAGAAATACGTCCAAAATGCACGAGACTTGAACCCGGAAACTCAATACACCAGAAACCAGGGATATATAATAATTGGTTGGGTGCAGACTGCCACAGCACCGCTCCTGTGCCAGGTAAGTCCACTACGGGCTCACCATAGCCCGTGCTACTTGCAACTTGTTCCGAGTAGCTGAATCTATAACAACATACAGACTGCGCTCAGTACTGCTGCGTTGAATGTAGTACATTTATGTTCCATCTTAGACCCAATTATAATACAGCATCTCTGAAAAAGGTGATGTTGGTGTAGCCTGTGAAGGGAGGAGTCCAAGCACGGGGGAGTGTGTCCCCCCCTATGGGTTCACCAGTGTCCCCCACACGTGCCTACAGCGTGGGGGGGGGGGACGGTGGTGGACAGCCACATTGTGTCTCGGGGACAGATCCTCTCCCGGCCCACCACCACAACCCCGCGGCGCCACTCTCCATAATACCTCACACACCACCTACATATCTCCAGCAACAGCAGCAGCAGAATATGCTGCTACCGCTGCTGGAAATAGGCAGACGCGCCGCTACACTTGTTCCCCTCTGCCTCCCACACAAACTACACCGTCCTCGCCTAACACTTTGCTTTTACACATTAAAACCAAAAGTCATGGGGGCCAGCATTCCGCGCCACACTAACCTACCCGCCCCGCCCACCACTTAAACAACCCAACGCCGGCTATCTTAAACATCAGCAGCCTCACCGATAGCTACAGTGACACTCTTATATATAAAATCCGGAGCCTCGCTGATGGTTCAAACGACACTTGGTTAGACAAAACACGGGGCAAAGGACGATAAGAACCCCTCCCCTCCCCCCCAACCTCCACAACCCACGACAGCACTCTATACAAAAACATTTGACTGAGCTACGAGGACCAACCTACCGTACTAGGCTATCGTGCACCCTCGACTCTCATGTATCACTCTCTCTTGTCTAAGCGCCAGTCGATCCTCGGATACTTGTAATGTAT